GATGGAAATAAGTCGATAGAATATTCGCTGTCCTAAATCATAAAGTAATGTCTTCACGTCTTCGGATTTCGGACGTTCTCTCTATTGTATTCATGACAATCTGAATACTATTAAAATGCGAGATTACCGGAAAATTGTCTAACGGATTGCAAATTTTCCTTTGCACCAGGACCGCTGTATAACCTATATAGAATATTGATGGATTTTGTAATCCTTAAAGCAATCATTAGGGATTTTGTCGGGTTTTTGTGTTTCTTACTCAGACTGAAATATCGACAAGGAGATTTTGCTAATCGGATGCGATGCGATCATGATCTGCATTTGCATTAGAATAGTTCGTTAGCGGTTAACCGAGAAAATAAATAAAATACGGAGAATAAATTATAAATGATCACAACTAGAACTGACCCATATCTCCTTATTAATATTAGATTGTCAAATATCTCCCTTCCGCCTTTTTGTATTATAAACCAAGAGCAAAAAAGCGGAAGGGAGATATTTGACAACCTAATACATTGTGAAATTTGCAACTTGAAGATTTGATTCTGATCGGACATTCAAATGAAATAATTTTTCAGTCAATAATATAATACGCTATAATGAATAATATAATTTGTTATATTTACATATAACTTTAAACTAACCTGTATAATTTGTAGCAAACTTAATATACTTCAATTAGTTCATATCGACCCACTGAGCTATATCTAATCGCAATTTGACAAATTATTCATGCGTTTATTTGTTATATTACATGTAACATTTAACGGTCCATCAAATACAATTAGAATATCATTTGGAAATTTAATGTTCCATAATATTTTGAGAATCCTAATATTGTACCATAATAATTTTATATAACTGAGTAGGTAGTTTGCTTTGAAATTGGTATTCACAATAGAGAATCAGACTGGTTGCAATTAAAGTCAGTTTGATAAACGATTCTACATATTTGATTATTTCTGTCAGAAAGTTAAAAATTGAATTGAGTTCATAAAAATTGTATAACAAAATTCTTGGGTTTTTTGTTGGTAATATGCGTTAATTATTTTGCAAAATTTTGCACTATGTAAGTACGGTCTTAGCTAATAAAAGAGCACATTAAGAAATTCGATGATGTCTCATAAATATCCTCTTATTGGGAAATATCTTTCCTTCAAGAGTTTCTTCATATAGTTCTCGTTTCCTTCATTATTAGTTTTGTAGTATCAGCATTATTATTTATGTCCTGTACTTATTATTACTAAGTGTCATATATCGAAGAACCCACTTGTAATATTCCTATATTGGGAATGGGGTTTCCAAGACTTAAGGAGGTACTCCGTATATTATGAAATACAATATAGGCAGAGAACTTTATTAATAAATCATAAGTTGGTGAACGCGTGTAAGTTTGATTTTCTATATAGTATTGGGAACTGAAACAGGATTTTTTTCTTAATAAAATTGGTAATACATGTTTTTCATTAATTACTAATAACTACATATTCTATATACTGACTGCAATTAATAAAAAATTAAAGTTCTAAATTGTAATGCAAATATGTGGCATATTCTAATAATTCATTCATATCCATGGCAAAAATTCAGGCCAATTCGTATGTAATCCAAAAAAAAAGGTAATAGATAATTCTCTCATGTTGTTATATTACGAATGGGTCCCGTACACATCCTGCAAAACATTTTTCACGGAATATTCGCGAAGGGCGTTGATATACTGCCACTCTTCTCCCCGATACAATATAATGCAAAAAAGTGATGCGGCGGCATGTGCCCGTGTATGTTTATGTAATATGCGTAATGCGGCAGCAGAAATACATCATGCGCCGGCAAATTGAAAATAATACCGCTTTCATCGAACATCAACAAAAAATGACGTAGATTATTCACGGGGGAAAATTACAATCTTGGATTATTGTTGGCAAGGTAATCAAAAATGAAATTTAGAATTGGAATAAATATTAATTCTATCAACATATAAATTTAAAGATGGCTTTGGAGGAATACTGAACCAAGACAGCTTAAATATGTTTTTTTAATTAACCAATTTCGTGTGTATAATAAATTCCTTCCAAGATAACTTCTTCATAACTGGTTGTGCTATTTGTGATGTTTTATCAGGATTTCGCAGAGAGCCAGATTTCGTCGTTCGCCGTTGTGTATTCATCAGTCTTTATGAGGCAATGTGTACTCTGTTCTCTCAACACAATTTTGTTTCGGTCTATAGCAAAGATCATATGGCTGTGATAAACTGACAGACAATCAGGACATCTGATCTAACATTGCCCTTGGAAATGAGAGGAATAGGAATTTACCTCCTTTCGCTTTTTGCCTTGTGTTTACAAATAATAATTGTCAAGAGACGAGGAGACTGTCAGATGCGGTTTTGGGGTTCTGAAATTGAAAGTCACAGTCAAAGATATTGAAGATATTTATTTAGTACTGTTATGAATGTTTACATTACACTTCATTGCAGCATTTATTTGATTACTATCATTTATTAAATTTTGCATATAATCAATTATTAATCTATAGTCCATTCTAACGAGATTACATATTTTGGTATGAAAATTATGACCATCAGTATCATCGAATAAACCTGATTTTATGATTTGCCGTCGAACTTTTTTTTGGATGCATTTTAAGCTACTCATGAAAATATTTTTATTCTAGTTTCATTGTTTTCAGGTATATCTAAATGAATTAATTAATTTGCTGAATTAGTTGAACATTGATGAACATGTTTAAATTTTTTTATGGTACCCAAATTTTATCTACAGATAATCTATTACTATATTATCTTCTGATACGAAAATTTCCTTTATGTGTATAAATAAGTTGCGGTTCAGAGCTGCGTCGTATTTATGGCCAGGGCCTGTGCTTTAAATCAGATACCATGACTCATTTTAATTGGTAGCCGCAGAATATAAACTGTTATATTAACATATTTTTCAGAGGGTTGAATTTATGAACGCGTTCTCGAGGAGGGTTCTTTGTCAAAAAACGTCGTGTGTACTGATGAACGGCTTGATAAAATATCGGGAGTTGTGCGCCTCTTGAATAAACACTATACATCTTACATAAACAGTAAACTCTCCACCGGAGCGAGGAAAGAGGATCGAGGGGCTTCCTTGATTAGGCGCGTATATTACGACGGTGCCGGGCTATAAATACTGCTCATAGCGAAAGTACATATTAATTTGTAAAGGGTAATCGTTGAATATTCATTCAATGCTTAAACAATATATCAAGTGCGATGGTAAATGTAGAAAAATAGCGGGCTTATAAAATTACTTCAACTTCTAATCAGCTTACTACTGGAATTACTTTAACTCCTAAATGATCCCGCATCGAGTAAAAAGCCCAAGCAGTTCTAAAAAATCTGAAAAATCCATATTGAGGTTCACCCTAGTATATATATATATATATATATATATATATATATATATATATATATATAGATGCGAATAGATCTTTTTATAAATTATTTCCTAATCTGAAATATAAGTTGTTAGTTAGGATTGTAAATAAGCTATTTATTTTGTTAAGTATGTTTATGCATATGAGAATGAGATCGACCATATTAATAAATTTGAATCATAAATTGTTTTATATTAGACTAATCTCGAGACTTACAATCCTCAAAATTACATTATGTATTTAATAAAGCAGGGATAAAAATATGTTGATATGGCCAAAAATTCTCCACGATTTAAGATCAGGTTATAAGTCAGCCTCGCCTATTTCGGAAGAATCTGCGTTATATCTACGGTCGTATTGTCGATGTTTTATCCCTCTATTTATTGAAGGGATCGACCAAACTATAAAATCCAACTAGGAAATCCTGGTCATAGATTTAGTACGACTACAAATTGTCTATAGGCAAGCTAACGCATCGGCAACTTATACGAATTGGAATATGTCCAATGGAAACTGGCTATTCGTTATTATTGTTTCAGTACGGCCTTAGATAATAGATTATTTTGGAAACAGAATTTAAAAAAATAATAGAGCATCCCTTATTTTATTTTTGCCTGACACCAATTTTTCCTCACATTGGTAGAAATATATACCTATATGTACACATATGTGATATGGATATAGGTGATTGTTTTTAATGCTCGGACGGATCCCGGCTACGGGTTTATTTATTTGCATATGTTAATCTTGCACATAAATATGTATATTTCATTTCACGTGGGAGTTTCAATATCATTTTTCAATTCTCTGTTGTATACTGTAACTTTTGGCAACATGATATATAAATTTGGGCTGGTCAAGTTTACTGAATATTGGTGTGCATATATTTCTCTAAAATGTGATACCATATCATTTTCCTTGTAGGTTATTAGCATTCTTTGTGCGAAGTCAAAATTGCATCAGTCAGCAATGAAAGATAGAAATGGTAAAAAAAATAAAGGCCGAATAGGAGTCTTGAAAAGCTCACGACCGGCGCTTAGGAACTCCCGGATGGCCTGACATACTTTCTGAATAGTCAGCCACCGCACGGAATTCAGAAAATGTCCAGTTATCCATTTATCATATTATTGATATTGTTATGAAAGCAATCTAGTTTTGCGCGAATTTACTTTTGCTCGGCGACGACTCTGGAAATTGATTTTCAGAAAACTATATGACGGCATGATTTAATATATCGCAACCGGTCAGTCGTGCTCATACGGAGAAATGATAATAGAATCTTTTATAAAAATATATTAAATATGTTTATTTTAAATTATTATTGATTCTGAATAAAATCATGTGATTTATTGCATTAAGATAACATTTTATGAGATTCATAATTAACGGCCATTTTAAGTATCAAGGGGCAAATTCTGCGGTAATATAGGCGATAACACCTTTTTTGATACTAAAAACGTAAAATGTTATCTTTTTATACTTCAAATAATTTTAACTAAATTTAAATTTGATGTAAAATATTTATACTACACAATATAATTTTAAAGTAAACAATACTAATTTATTTATTTTCCTTACAGAACATTATCACATATTTGTTGGAGACCTAAGTCCGGAGATAGAAACGCAAACATTAAGAGATGCCTTCGCCCCTTTTGGAGAAATATCGTAAGTAAATTTGTTAATTATTAATATATAAATATGAATAAATATGAAATTGACCCACTAATGTACAGTCTGAAATAATTCCTTTACTGCAATTTTCTATTACGAATTTTTCTATCACAAAGTAAATTGTTTTGCGAAAGTCCGGATATTTATATGTTAACATGAAGATATAATCTATTGTTATTGTTCAGGTTAAATTCAAAACATCGCTGTTTTACCCTTAACCTTCAATAAATTACCATTCGTTTAACCTTAGGGATACTTAGCGCAAAAGGGTTAAATGCGCGCAAAGATTAATGACCCATTATATGGTAATGAAAACAGTTTATATTTTATATTGAACCCATGGTAAAAATATCGGGAAAATATTTGGCAAAAATTGAATTTTTAGAGTATCCACAATATATTTATGAAAATCCTTGATTTTTGAAAATTGTTCCATTATCTCTCATACCAAGCACTTTTCCTGTCTGACTGAGATATGAAAATATGATGATAAAGAAAAAACATTATTTCAGGTCTCAAGTTTTTTGGCCCTAGTTTTTTTATATATATAAATCGGTACAAATCTTTGCACTTAAAAATTTATATATTCCAGTTTTTTTTATTTCTTTTTATTTTTTATTGATATATTATTTTCATATCTTAGTCAGACAGGGAGCCTGGTATAAGAGATTATTTTCATATTTCATATATACATACCATTTATATATTTCATTCTACATTCATAACTTCTTATATAACTTTATCCATCTAAAAATAACTAGAATTTTGAAATAATCATACCTAAAAGCAACTAATTTATTCAAAAATTCAATAGCTCCTTACTTTTATTTTACGCCCAGTGCATTAGCTGTGTTTATCTTTTATCCCTCGCAATTTATTACCAAATAAGGTCATTAAATTTCGATGCCTACCCACAGTAGTATGTCAATGTGCAATATATAATTTTAGGTAAAAATAAATCCGGTTTGCTATTAGTCCGGATAACTTACGAGCGATTTATGTCACGTTTTTATTGCGTGTTCCCTGATATATAGAATCAACTAAACACGCCCTCTCCTGATTTATTCTCCAACATTTGGTTAATAATGAACTGCACATTATTTTTAAATCAGCATTTCCACAATAAATTGGATAAATGTTAGAACGGAATAGAATTATTCAACAAATCCCGTCTCGATGTATTATTTACTCTCAACGCCTTTGATTGGATAATATTTAAAAATGACACTGTCAAATAAATTGTCAATTAAAATTTTGAAACAAAAATATAATATTTGACGATCCATATCATTATTTCAAAATTTGTTATCAGCATTAATGTAGCTTTAAATACTATTTTTAAGTTTTCCAATTCCACATCGTAAGATCGATGCATACATCTTACGTCATTTAAAACCTGAAATGGAATTGAGAATTTGAGTAAGATATTGTTTTATGTAAAAAGTAATTATACTTGTCAAAATTTATCACGATCGATGTCACTAAATTGCAATGGCAACTACAAAATCTATAGACGTTCCTCCAAAAAAAAATTTTATACTCAGAAATAAATTGAATATTAGTAAACTCAATGGACGAAATTCTGCGCCTGTCACGACTTTAAATGAAAATAAAGGCATTGGATCAGGATTGGAAAAGTTGAATTTGTCTGGTAAGAGGTCCACACTTTTGAAAAACCAAAACAGTATGGTACAAAACGTGTCCAAATTGAAACTCGAAAAAAGTAATTTTTCTGTTGATGAATCTGAAGGGCGGAAATTCGAAGAAGTTAGTGATCCTTTACGATCTCCATCTCCTGATTATGCAATGTTTGCTGCTTTGAATATTGGCAAAAGCTACACCAGCAAAGCTATGCAAACTATCAACATAACTAATCAGGAAGCTTTACTTGAAAATAGTATTATTAGATTTCCAAGTGCAAAGGCAAGACCTAGTTCATTGGTTGCACATAAAAATGAATTTTTTGAGCCAGCGCATTTAACCAGAATAAAAAAAGATATGGTAAGAACAAGATCATTGGATGGAAATGATAGTACAAGTGTAACTACAGATAAATCTGACATATCCAAATTTACAATAAATGAAGCTAGTACACAAGAACTTGCCAATCACCGTCAATCCAGAGCTATAAAAGTCCTAAAATCACCTAACCTTTTAAAACCGTACAAGGAACCCGAAACATTTGATCCATTCAAAGCTCCGCCAACTTACAAACTAGGAGCTTTGCCGAAATATTTAAAATCTCGCAGAAACCCAGCAAGAAATAACGATTGGGATGATATTTGTCCAGAAGGACATGTCACCTTGCCGGATTCCGAAAGAAAAGAAACTTTGAATGTTTTAAGAAATCGTTATGCTACATTAGTATCTGAATTAAACAAAATGCCAGTTCGTCTTCCGAATCTTCAGGACAAGAGGAAGAAACAATTACTTGAAGAAGAACTTCTCTCGGTGGAAGATGGAATTAATGTGTTTTCGAGGCCTAGAGTTTATGTAAAATTGAACACCTAATCTTTTGGTGAAAGTTGTGATAGAGACGTCAAAAGAGATCATTTGATGAGAATTTTGCAAATGGATTGTTTTTGTAAAAAAATATGCTACATGAATATTTTATTTCACATTCTAACATGTTTATTTGGCACTGTAATTATAAAAAATATATTTATTTAAGAAAAAATTGTCTGCAAGGTCCAAATTTATTTCTGTTTTTATTCAATCCGTTTTTGTTAGACACCAAAATGGGCAAAGGTACATGTTTTTGTGGGTGTCAAAATTTGTTGTTTTATCAATGTTGCGCAATATATATATATATATATATATATATATATATATATATATATATATATATATGTGTGTGTATGTAAATTTAAATATATTTCCAACTACAACCCATCTTCGAGGTACGATCTAATATGAGCGAAATACATTTGCATTATTTAATATGCGTATTTTGTAACGGGCATACGAATTATTAAACGATAAATTCTATTTAAGTTTAAACGTTTCATGTATCACAATTGTTACAAATAACAGTTTAGATGTTAAGAGAAAATATTTATTTTCCGGCGCGAAAATGTCCAAAGTTTTACTTCATAGCAACACATTTACAATGCAAACAAATTGCAATAAATTTACTCACAGAAAGGAGCATGTGTAAGTTCTTAGTGAATATTATATAATTTATAGACTATAATATGTTCATATAAAAGTCAGAGTAAGGAATACAGTTATGGTAACATGAGGAAATTTACGTGTATCTATATTTTTATGGGAAAATTAATGTCTGGATGTGCGTGATGTACATTTTTGTCAGTTTGTTCTGGCGTAAAGAATAAAATATAGCGCGTTGAAATATTAAATTGAAAGGAGAAAATATGTAATATGTCACAAACGTCTTGGTCGGTATAAAAGTAGAAACAAATCCTATCTATCTTTATATAACACTCATTAAGAAATATTAATATTTCTAGAGCAATTTGTTTTGAAACATGCACATATATCAGGATAATCATATTCCAGTATTTTTAAATTATTGTGAGCGCTATTGATTTCCGAGCCATAAAATTTTGTGCTATGCAATATTTTATGTACTGATAAATATTCCACTGAGCAATTTTCTTTCTTTCAACTCTATCAATTATAAATTAAAAAACGATAAATTATATGAACGAATACATCTTTGTGCTTTAGATTTCCATTTGAAGATTGAATTTATTTACCGAAGTAAGCATATCGCCCCAGTTTTAAACCGATACCGAGAATTCCAATTTGAATTGACTTTCTGTAATTGGAAAACTGTTAAGGCGCATGGACATGGATTTGTAGCCGGTAACGTGCACAGAAACACAAAATAGAAAATAACAAAAAACGCCTAGAGGGTTGGTAATATTTTTAATTGAAAATAAAATGCTCCCGAAATTGATGATATATTAGAGCAACCACAGATTTGCATTAAGTTACGCAAAAAAATTCATTTTGGATTTTTGAACGATTAAAGTAACTTATCCTAGCGAAGTTAAAAAGTAATAAAATATTGATGAATACATTCTGAACTATATTCCTGAATCAATGTGCTTATATAAATTATACGATGTGGTTAACACAACATCAAAGACAAATAGTAAACATATGTATACCAATTAATTATTGATACTGCATAAGTAATATTGCTTATTATCTTGTGCCGCACAGGTGTTTCAAACGTGCCAAATTAATTTAATTAATTTTGAATCATTTGTAGTCAACAATATTTTCTAGATCTTGTATCAAACTATTCAAATAGAAAACAACATATGGCATTATCAATACCTGTATACAGTAATTCCATTAATTTCACCCGTTGGAACAAATTGTACCCCAACCTCATCCAAGGGCTTTCCGAAGGTATCACGTCGACCCGCAGTGTACTTAGTACCTCATTCAATAGACGCATTCACACGTTATCAGAATTATCAAATACAATACAACATAATGGATTTTACCTTTGTATTGTACGCACATATGACACATAATAATGCCTAGAATTAATCCCAATGGCAGGAATAATATACTTCACCTAAACAATATGCTGACTGTACCTGTTCTACAACAGCAGGTACAAATTTTGAATCTATTTGCAGATTATTGTTCGTAGTTTTACGAGATTTATTCTTCAATTCATGTTCGATTTTATAGTTTGCATTTGTGTGCTGAGTGCAAATGAAAAGCAGGAAAAATAATGTAATTGAGAGACTTGTTCAACGATCGCATATAGATATTGCGATATCGCAGCATAATTTAATTCGGAGAGCGACTTTATGAAAAGATGTATTTTAATAGGGTTGGATAGTAAAATTCCTATTTTATTAAGTCAACATTTAATACTATTTATCGATGAGAATCAAATTATTTAATATTGAAACAAATTAGTTTTTGATGCAAATTTATGCCATAATTTTGAACATGAGTAAAATGCATAATTTCCTAAAATTATTCGAGTTGCAATATTTGTACTA